CTTTAAGGTCTACATGACATGTGTGACGATTTAAGGTACTCAGTTATCTGAGAAGCTTGGCACATCTTGTGTTCCAGGAATTACCCTGTTTAATGGGGAAGGTAACAAGCATATTCCCTCCAACTGCAAACCTCCTCTGAAATATCAAAGTTTTCCCTAGTGTTTGAATTGAGTCACATGTCAAGAAAAACACATTGCATTCCTTTGCCATAAGACAAACGCCATATGTTAAGTTTATTTTTAAAGGGTGGGCAAGAACAGGGAGACCATGTTCCAGTCTGAGAAAATATTGATGCCATGGTGTCGGCAAGGCAGGTTATGGTTTAATTCATACCTGCGGATTAAAGAATGAAAAATGAACCCACATCCCCAGCCTGACATCTGTATAAATGGTGCATAGGGATGGAGGCCTGTCTACCTTCCTTAATGTTCTCGGGATAAAGTAAATACTGAAGGGCTTGACATCTCTCCTAAACCTAACAAAGTTGGCACAGCTGGTGCCCAGATGCACCGGCTGGGTGGGTGGAAGGTTCTCCTGGCTGGGGAGAAAGAAGAGAAGTGAGACGATGCCCTGGGGCTTAGGGAACTTAGGAGAAATAGTGACAAATTCCTTCTTTTACCCAGGATTGTTCTTAGGGGCAATTGAAAAGTGGATGAAGTTGGAATCTGGGTTGTCCCTGCAGCCACCCCCTTTCTGGCCATCCTGCGAGCACACTCCCCATTCCATACCCCATCATAGTTTGGAGAATGTCTTAAACCTAAAAATGCACATACCTTACCCCTCAGCTCTTGCCTTCTCCTATTCATCCTACCTACACCTGGACAAGGAGAATTGGTAGCATGTTTGTTATAGTAGGGAATTGGAAACATCATAAACGTCTAGCAGCAGATGAAATAAAGCATGGCATTTTTATGTTGGTTCCAAGATTTCTTGTTTGTGAAGTAGAAACAGTATTGGCTGCTTATTTCATGAAGTTTCTTGAGGATTACGTAAGAACAGTTCTTGGCAAACTGTCAACAGTCAATAAATTGCAATTATTATTATTAAAGGGAATACTATACAGCTGTTACAAAGAATGATCTATGGTTTTTCTGTAGCAACTGACATTAAGGACAAAAAAAGTGAAAGGCACTAAACACAGTATTCCATTTATACTTTTATTATTAAATTCATAGCAGCACCAAAGTGCTTACCAAGAATACAGTTGCCCAGCTTTCAACTCTCATTTTGATGAGCTTCTGACATTCAGTAGAGTTGGAAAATTAAAATGTGCAGAAACAGCGTGTGTTCATTTTTTAAAACCTCACAAAACAATACTATACAGTTTCTTTGGATATTTGTATGTGTATAAAAGCAGGAAACCACCAGGAAAAGGACAGGTCAAACCCCTAAAGAAGTGAAGTGAATAAAATTTGGTGTTGTGTGTATGTGTGTGTGTCTGTTTATGTTTCTTTTATCCTAAAGCACGGAGGTGATAGGGTTAGGGTAGGAGGTAGGAACCATTTGAGTCTTAATTCTGTTTTGATTTTGTACAGGAATAAATACTCATGTGTTACTTGTGCAATTAAAAAATAGTTTAAAGGTAAAAGGGTAACCTGTGCTCACGTGCTCACTTTTAATCAAGTCAGGTGTGTTTTCCTTGAGCAGCACAACCTGAATCTTCAACCTTAGAATACACACACTCTCAGAGACCTTCCAGAACAGGTCCCTTGTCTGAGCTGAGGAAACCGATGGTTTACTTTTCATGTTTTTTTATTGAAGTATAGTTGACATACAACGTTGTGCCAGTCTCTGCTGTATAGCATAGTGACTCATTATATACATCAGTTCAGTTCAGTTCAGTTCAGTCGCTCAGTCATGTCTGAATCTTTGTGACCCCATGGACAACAGCATGCCAGGCCTCCCTGTCCATCACCAGCTCCTGAGTTTACTCAAACTCCTGTTCACTGAGTCGGTGACACCATCCAACCATCTTATCCTCTGTCATCCCATTCTCCTCCCGCCTTCAATCTTTCCCAGCATCAGGGCCTTTTCACATGAGTCAGTTCTTCACATCAGGTGGCGAAAGTATTGGAGTTTCAGCATCAGTCCTTCAAGTGAATATGCAGGACTGATTTCCTTTAGGATCGGCTGGTTGGATCTCCTTGCTGTCCAAGGGACTCTCAAGAGTTTTCTCCAACACCACAGTTCAAAAGCATCAGTTCTTCGGTGATCAGCTTTCTTTATAGTCCAACTCTCACATTCACACATGACTACTGGAAAAACCATAGCCTTGAGTAGACAGACCTTTGTTGACAAAGTAATGTCTCTGCTTTTTACTATGCTGTCTAGGCTGGTCATAAATTTCCTTCCAAGGAATAAGCATCTTTCAATTTCATGGCTGCAATCGCCATGTGCAGTGATTTTAGAGCCCCAAGAAACAAAGTCAGCCACTGTTTCTCCATCTATTTGTCATGAAGTGATGGGATCGGATGCAATGATCTTAGTTTTCAGAAAGTTGAGCTTTAAGNCTGAAATTTCATCACCTCCACTAGCTTTGTTTGTAGTGATGCTTCCTAAGGCCCACTTGACTTCGCCTTCCAGGATGTCTGGCTCTAGGTGAGTGATCATACCATCATGATTATCTGGGCATTAAGATCTTTTTTGTACAGTTCTTCTGTGTATTCTTGCCACCTCTTCTTAATATCTTCTGCTTCTGTAGGTCCATACCATTTCTGTCCTTTATTGAGGCCATCTTTGCATGAAATGTTCCCTTGGTATCTCTAATTTTCTTGAAGCGATCTCTAGTCTTTCCCATTCTGTTGTTTTCCTCTATTTCTTTGCACTGATCACTGAGGAAGTCTTTGTTATCTCTCCTTGCTCTTCTTTGGAACTCTGAATTCAAGTGGGTATATCTTTCCTTTTCTCCTTTGCCTCTCACTTTTCATAACTATTTGTAAGGCCTCCTCAGACAGCCATTTTGCCTTTTTGCATTTGTTTTTCTTGGAGATGGTCTTGATCTGTGTCTCCTGTACAATGTCACGAACCTCTTCAGGTTCTTCAGGCACTCTGTCTATCAGATCTAATCCCTTGAATCTATTTTCCACTGGATAATCGTTAACGATTTGATTTAGGTCACACCTGAACGGTCTAGTGTTTTCCCGATTTTTTTCAATTTAGGTCTGAATTTGGCAATAAGGAGTTCATGATCTAAGCCACAGTCATCTCCCAGTCTTGTTTTTGCTGACTATATAGAACTTCTCCATCTTTGGCTGCAAAGAATATAATCAATCTGATTTCAGTGTTGACCATTTGGTGATGTCCATGTGTAGAGTCTTCTCTTGTGTTGTTGGAAGAGGGTGTTTGCTATGACCAGTGCGTTCTCTTGGCAAAACTCTGTTAGCCTTTGCCCTGCTTCATTCTGTACTCCAAGGCCAAATTTGCCTGTTACTCCAAGTATTTCTTGACTTTCCACTTTTGCATTCCAGTTCCCTGTAATGAAAAGGACATCTTTTTTGGGTGTTAGTTCTAGAAGATCTTGTAAGTGTTCATAGAACCGTTCAACTTTCGCTTCGTCAGCATTACTGCTCGGGGCATAGACTTGGATTACTGTGATATTAAATGGTTTGCCTTGGAAATGAACAGAGATAATTTTGTCATTTTTGAGATTGCATCCAAGTACTGCATTTTGGACTCTTTTGTTGACTATGATGGCTACTCCATTTCTTCTAAGTGATTCTTGCCCGCAGTAGTAGATATATGGTCATCTGAGTTAAATTCACCCATTCCAGTCCATTTTAGTTCGCTGATCCCGAGAATGTCTATGTTCACTTTTGCCATCTCCTGTTTGACCACTTTCAATTTGTCTTGATTCATGAGCCTGACATTACAGGTTCCTATGCTGTATTGCTCTTTATAGCAGACTTTACTTCCATCACCAGTCACATCCACAACTGGGTGTTGTTTTTGCTTTGGCTCTATCTCTTCATTCTTCCTGGAGTTATTTCTCCACTGATCTCCAGTAGCATTTTGGGCACCTACTGACCTGGGGAGTTCATCTTTCAATGTCCTATCTTTTTCTCTTTTCATACTGTTCATGGAGTTCTCAAAGCAAGAATACTGAAGTGGCTTGCTATTCCCTTCTCCAGTGGACCACGTTTTGTCAGAACTCTCCACCATGACCCGTCTGTCTTGGGTGGCCCTACACGGCCTGGCCCATAGTGTCATTGAGTTAGACAAGGCTGTGGTCCATGTGATCAGATTGGTTAGTTTTCTGTGATTGTGACTTTCAGTCTGTCTGCCTTCTGATGGAGAAGGATAAGAAGCTTATGGAAGCTTCCTGATGGGAGAGACTGACTGAGGGGGAAACTTAAAGATTAAAGATTTACTGAGCATGTCCCCGCCCATCAGAGCAAGACCCAGTTATACACATAGAGATATTCCTTTTTTTACATATTCTTTTCCATTATGATTTACCACAGGACATTGAATATAGTTCACTGTGCTGTGTAGTAGACCTTGTTGTTTATCCATCCTATATATAATTGTTTACATCTGCTAATGCAAGCTCCTGGTGCCTTCCACCTCCAGCTCCCCCTTGGCAACCACACATCTGCTGTCTATTTCTGTGAGTCTGTTTCTGTTTTGTAGCTAGGTTCTTTTGTGCCATATTTTTGATTCCACATTAAAGCTATATGGTATTTGTCTTTCCCTGACTGAGTTAGCATGATAATCTCTAGTTGCATCCACATAGCTGCAAATAGCATTATTCCGTTCTTTTTATGGCTGAGTAGTATTCCATTGTGTGTGTGTGTGTGTGTGTGTGTGTGTGTGAGACATCTTCTTTTTCCATTCATCTGTCAGTGAACATTTTCTTCCATGTCTTGGATATTGTGAATAGTGCTGCTATGAACTTAGGAGCGTGTGTATCTTTGAATTAGAGTTTTGTCGAGGTATATGCGCAGAAGTGGAATTGCTGGATCATGTGGTATGTGGTAATTCTATTTTTAGTTTTCTGAAGAACCTCTACACTGTTTTGTGCAGTGGCTGTACCAACTTACATTCCCACCAGCAGTGTAGGAGAGGGAACCAAGCGTTTAGCATGGGAATGACTAGCTCAAGGTCACATAGTAGAGGGGGCTGGGAGAGAAAGAGGGAACAAGTGACAGGTATTGGGGTTATAAAAGAACTAGTGAAGTTGAAGTTCAGCTAAAGTTAAGGTAACAAGGAGGTTGGAAGAAGAGGGAATGAGTTAGAAGGGCCTTCAGAGGTTTTGTAATCAAGGTCCAAAAATATCAAAATCAGCAGGCAAGTGCCTCAGGCTTTCCCCTTCCCACCACTTCCCAGGGAGCTTTTGTATTTGCCTGCTCACCCTCTAAGGCCTTTGGTTGTGTTATTGCTAATAATAGCAAAGGAGAATTGAAAGATAGGCAGAAAATCTAGAAATAGTTAGTATTAGAAAAAGACTAAGACCCTCGTGAAAGTTGAGGGGCAGATCTCAGAGAAGATCCAGGCTCATGGTAGTTTGGAAAGCATGGGGGTCTAGGGGTTGATGCAAGAGTTGGCAATACTTCAGAGACAGTGGGACAAAGAGGGGAAAGAGGACTGTCCAAAGTGTTTGTGGGTTGGGAATGTAATCCCCTTTTCGTGACATTTCAAGAGACTTCAGTAAAAATTTAAGTGGTTCATTAATATTCTTTGAATATCACACTTGGTTTTCTGTTGAATGAACAGTAGCCCAACATCCTAAAGTGTGCACTGAAAATCACCATTGCTGAGGGAACTAGAAGGAAATACACAACACTCAGAAATGTTGTCAGTATCAGGAGTAGGATCTGGAACCCTCTGTCCCAGTCATGCCCCTCAGCCAGCTTCACTCTTTGCTTTCATCCTTTCATCCCTCAGACAAAGGTAAAAAGGAGGAGATGGTGATCAGAGAATGCCCACCTTTGAAACCACTTCTTTCCTAGTAGGGTGAAAAAGGAATTCTGTAACAGCACCAATTGCCCACCAAGAATACACTTGCCTGGCTTTCAGTTCTCATCTGAAGAAGCCTCTGAGACTTTCAGTGGAACTAGAAAATTTAAATGTGTACAAACAGCATATATGGCATATCGTTATGACCTACAGAACAAAATACACATACATAAACACACACACACAAAGGAGAGGCGGAAGAAGACCCATGTCCTTGGTTTGTGCTGGCAGAGTACCTGATGAGGGGCTTCAGGACTTAGTATATCCAGTACCCCATTGACAGAAAGGTTAAGGTTATTCTGCTTTGTGATAAACATGCCCCACAGAATCTTGCTTTCTCTGCCCTTGGTTCCCTTGGCCTGGGTGTTATATACCATATTTTCCAGGCAGATCAGAATATGCATTGACAATCATTTGCCAAAGATTACCTGGGTGGCACCTTCTTGTAAGAATGCAAATGATTCTCCTGAATCCCGCACACGTTGAACGAAGAATAAACAAACTTGTTGAAATCATCTACATGACCTGGAATGCTAAAAGCCTTCAGTTTGCTTGCTATAGTGCAAAAATATGAGAAATATTTAATCTTTAAAAATACACAATGGAATCATAATTTTGCTGCAGGTTCAAAGAGAGCACAATATAACGCAGTGTATTTAAAATGTAATGGCAGTGTATATTTTCAAAATGCAAACAGCAGAGTTTGATGAATAGCTAAAGAGCACCAGACCATATCTTATCCTTATAAAAGTGTCTCCCATGAATGTTAACAGTATCTCTCAGAAAATTCTTAATCTGCTCCGTGGCTCAGTGTGTAGACAACAACTCTATAGAAATGTATGTGCCTACCTGGTGTGTGGTCTTTGTCAACTCAAAGTGAAGGTTGTATAAACGTTGGATGCCCAGCCTTTTACTTCAGAACAAAGAAACAAATCTAAAAGTTTATAGTTTTCCAGACCTCTCATGTACCTAGTGTTTTTTAAAATCTATTCTTGATACAATGTTTTTTCTATTTTTAAATAATCACACCAGATTATTTATAGTATATCTTTGTCTGTTTTAATCCATGTTGATGTCCAATTGTATATTTAAAATTCTATTCATTTTATATCAAAAATTGATACATGTTCTTGTAAAAAAAAACATGTATAGGGTGTGTTGAAATACAGGTAAAAAAGACATGAATTTGGGGGGATTTATTCTCTAGAATCTGGAAACAAGGAGCGGAGCAGCACTAGCCAGCAGAGCTCTCTGCTGTGATGGAAGCCCGTGTCGCCCAGTGTGACGGCCGCTGGCCAGCGCTCGGCCGTTACGAAGCGTTTAAAGTGTCGCTACTTCGGCTGAGGGACTGAATTTCTTTAAATTGTATGTAATTTTGATTCATCTACTAAGACAGTCACATGGGGTTCATGGCTCCCGTGGCAGATAGCAGAGGAGCAGTGGGTTTGAATGGAGCAGACTCATGCTCTTTCCTCCTAGTATCCTCCTGTTCGTGGCTTCTACACTCAAGATGTCCTCACGGTCCAAGATGGCTGTTGGAGTCATAGCGGGAAGGACATTCCAGGCAGCAGGGAGGGATCTGGACAGAAGGGCTCGTCCCTTCCCTTTTAATGCGGCTTCCTAGGTGTCCTGCACAACTACTACTAGTCTACAGCTTGCCCAACACGTATTCACATGCCTACGCTGAGCCACTAGGAGTCTTTTTCTTTTTTTTGACTGAAGAAGGGATTTGAGGGTAGGCAGTTGTCTCCCTGCCACAAAAATGTATTAAGTCCACCATTCCCATTCATTCCTCCATCCCAACCCAAACGCATTCCTAGTCTGCAAAGATAACTGCTGTGAATAACACTGTGTAGAACCCTCTGGCAAAACCACTTATATACACATACTTTTTTTAGCATTTTATTTTTTTTATGTACTCTCTGCAAACCACATATTGCATTTTTACAACATTTTTTGTATCACTGATAGAATGTATAGATCTAGATCATTCTGCTTTATCAAGTATACAATCAGTTCTGTGAGTGCAGGCAGTATATGTGCTGTGCTCATTTTTATGCCCTAGCTATAGTAGACTGAAAACATTCAGCATAAAAGTCTTCTTTTATGGATATATCATAATTTAGTTAACCCATTCTTTACTCCTACTGCTGAAATAATAACCCTTCTCAAGAAAAAACAACTTTGCTTTGTGCTCTAAGAGCTTTAGACAGTTAACTAAATAAGTGCCATCCATCCAATTTCTTGTCTTCCCAACCAACTGCAAAAATTGACTGTCTCTATACTCTGTTATGATTTGATTCAATTATTGTAACAACTTGAAACTATGTGTCCATGTTTCTCTTACTCCATGGAGATATGCATTGACTCAGAGCACCAGTTAAGGGAAGAGTCAAGCTAGTTAAAAGTTACTTTAGGGAGAGAGCCAGATCACTTTGTTTTCAGGCATTCTGTTGGTATAGACGTACTCTACAGCTGGAGATAAATGGTTATATACACCACTTGGAACAGGAGTGCAGTGAATGGGTGTTTTGAAGAGCTCTCACCTTCCCCAGCTGTGCCAGCCTCTGGGGGATTATTGTGTGGAAAGTGTAGCTGAAGAGACAGACAGTCTGACAGACAGGAAGGAAGCAATAGCTTTGGAAGCAAACAAACCAGACTTTGACTCCTGGCTCAGCCCTTTCCTAATTCTGTGACTAAGAAAGTCACAAAATGTCACTGAGGCTCAATGACCTTGTCATTAAAAGGTGATAGTGTCCTTTGCTTTCTAGCATTGTGTAAATCAAATGGAATATTATCTGTTGCCTGCCCATAGCAGGAGTCACACAATCAGAGCTATGCATGTGGATAACATTCATGTGTTTCCAAAATACTGGAATGGATCCTAAGAGTCAGTGGATCAATTTCAAGAGGGAGATCCTTTTTTTTTTTTTTTTAAATATTTATTTATTTGGCTGTGCTGGATCTGTGCCGGCTCCTATTTGTGGCATGTGGAATCCAGCTCCATGACCTGGGATCAAACTCAGGCCCTCTACATTGGGAATGCAGAGTCTTAGCCACTGGACCTCCAGGGAAGTCCCGGGAGATCTTCTTGATGGTGAAGTTACTCATCTGTATTGAGTAACTCAGACTGATCTGGCCTGAAATTGAGCACATTTTCATTTCTCTATACAGGCATCCTTACAGAAACATAGTCCAAATGAACTTGGGTGGCTCCCTCACTGATGTATTTGGTCCATGATTTTGGTATTTAGAGAACATAGAGACCAGTGCAATGAGCAGGGCAGTAGCAGCCCACCAGACCAGGACTCGGCATCCTATACTCCAATTCAGAAATATTTCTAAACCAGCATTTTACATTGACCATATGCATCAGAAATCATTAGTCTACTGGTTAAAAATGCAGATTCCTGGAGCCCAGCTAAAAAGTGCAGAATCAGTATTTATGGCAAAGGGATCCAGAGTCCCCCAGGTTAATAAGCTTACTAGGTGATTTTTGTGCATGGGAAAATTGTAAAACTTTTTTCCCAGAATGATTTAAATTGAACAACAACTAAAGTGAGTAATTGAATACTCCTTAGAATCTATCTTAGAGGTATAGAGATATATCTATAGAGATAACATGGTTAACTGCCACTAGACTGCAAAAGTAAGAACACAAAGATACCCATTTCCTCAAGAATATATCAACAACACAGTGTGATGTGAACAGGATGGAGATAAGTAAGCAGTCCACAGAAATAGCAGAGAGGAAGAAGTGATTAACTCTGGTAGGAGAAGTTTTAAGAAAGACATTGATATCTAAGCAGGACTTTGAAGGATGAATAGGAGTTCACCAAATTACCAAGATGGCAAGGAAGCATTTCTCAAGCTTTATTGCATGTATGATAGAATCACTTGGGGATCCTATTAATAAAATGCATGTTCTGTTTCAGTGCATCTGGGTGACACTCCCAGGTGATGGCTTATTGATCACACTTTGAGTAGCAAAGCTCTAGAGGTGAAAATTACATTGGTTATAATGGATCAAATGAAGTTTCCATTTTATCCGTAGTGAGGCATGCATTACACATTATGTTGATATCTCCTGACTGCTCTTTTATGAAGAACCAGCTGATCTCTTTCCTTCTGCACAGGAATATCTTCACTAAATACATACATTCCTTAAGCAACCCACCTTGGACCATGGTGTTGCCCATGTAAGAAGCAAGTCATTTCAAAACTCAGCCTCAGCAATTCTAGTCTTTCGGTAAACTGGTCAGTGTTTGTTAGCCATCTCTTTGTCTGCTTCAGAGAAATGTCTATTTAAGTCTTTTGCTCTCTTTTTGATTGGGTGCTTTGTTTTTCTGGTGTTGAGTTGCATGTTCAATTCATTTCAGTCACTCAGTCATGTCCGACTCTTTGCGACCCCATGGACTGCAGCACACCAGACTCCCTGTCCATCACCAACTCCTGGAGCTTACTCAACTCATGTCGATTGAGTCAGTGATACCATCCAGCCATCTCATCCTTTGTCATCCCCTTCTCCTCCCGCCTTCAATCTTTCCCAGATTCAGGGTCTTTTCAAATGAGTCAGTTCTTCACATCAGGTGGCCAAAGTATTGAAGTTTCAGCTTTCCAATGAATATGCAGGACTGATTTCCTTTAGGGTGGACTGGTTAGATCTCCTTGCAGTCCAAGGGACTCTCAAGAGTCTCTTCCAACACCACAGTTCAAAAGCATCAATTCTTTGGCACTCAGCTTTCTTTATAGTCCAACTCTCACATCCATACATAACTACTGGAAAAACCATAGCTTTGACTAGATGGACATTTGTTGGAAAAGTAATGTCTCTGCTTTTTAATATGCTGTCTAGGTTAGTCATAACTTTTCTTCCAAGGAGCAAACATCTTAATATCTTGGCTGCAGTCACCATCTGCAGTGATTTTGAAGCCCAAAAGAATAAAGTAAGCCACTGTTTCCCCATCTATTTGCCATGAAGTGATGGGACCAGATGCCATAATCTCAGTTTTCTGAATGTTGAATTTTAAGCCACTTTTTTTCACTCTTCTCTTTCACTTTCAACAAGAGGCTCTTTAGTTCTTCTTTGCTTTGTGCCATAAGGGTGGTGTCATCTGCAGATCTGAGGTTATTGATATTTCTCCTGGCAATCTTGATTCCAGCTTGTGCTTCATCCAATCTGGCATTTCTCATGATGTAGTCTGCATATAAGTTAAATAAGCAGGATGACAATATGCAGCCTTGATGTACTCCTTTCCCGATTTGGAACCAGTCTGTGTTCCATGTCCAGTTCTAACTGTTGCTTCTTGGCCTGCATGCAGATNCTCTATTTTATATTCTTGCCTCCTTTGTCAAAAATAAAGTGTCCATAGGTATGTGAGTTTATCTCTGGGTTTTTTTATCTTGTTTCATTGATTTATATTTCTGTTTTTGTGCCAATACCATACTGTCTTGATGACTGTAGCTTTGTGGTATAGTCTGAAGACAGGAAGGTTGATTTCTCCAGCTCCATTCTTCTTTCTCAAGATTGCTTTGGCTATGCAGGATCTTTTGTGTTTCCATTACAAATAGTGAAAATTTTTGTTATAGTTCTATGAAAAATGCCATTGGTAATTTGTTAGGGATTGCACTGAATCTGTAGATTGCGTCTGGTAGTATAGTCATTTTCACAATATTGATTCTTCCAAGCCAGGAACATGGAATATCTCTTCATTAAAGACATTATATTGTCTTTGATTTCTTGGATCATTGTCCTGTAGTTTTCTTTATACAGTTCTTTTGTCTCCTTAGGTAGGTTTATTCCTAGATATTTTATTCTTTCTAAAGGAAAGGAAAGTGAAGTTGCTCAGTCGTGTCCGACTCTTTGCAACCCCATGAACTGTAGCCTACCACGCTCCTCTGTCCATGGGATTTTCCAGACAAGAGTACTGGAGTGAGCTGCCATTTCCTTCTCCAGAGGATCATCCTGACACAGGGATCGAACCTGGGTCTCCTGCATTGTAGGCAGAAGCTTTGCCATCTGAGCCACCAGGGAAGTGTGTAGAAATGCAAGTGATTTCTGCATAGTGATTTTGTATCCTATAACTACTGATTTCAAAATTCACTGATTAGCTCTAGTAATTTACTGATAGTATCTTTAGGATTTTCTGTGTATAGTATCATGTTGTCTGCAAACAGTGAGAGTTTTACTTCTTTTCCAGTCTAGATTTGTTTTATTTCTTTTTGTTCTCTGATTGGTGCAGCTCAGACTTCCAAAACTATGTTGAATGATTGCAGTGAGACTGGACACCCTTGTCTTGTTCCTGATCTTAGAGGAAATGCTTTGTTTTTCACCATTGAGAATGATGTTTGCTGTGGGTTTATTA